CCTTGTTCTGCTGAATAGTCTCGAGAATGTCTCCAGCGCCGTCAGCCACCAGGGCCTTGGCTACGGTGATGCCGAAGGCCTCAGCACTTTCAGCAGAGGTGACATCGGCTTCCAGTTCTACCTGGGCACATTCTTTGCCATCGACACTGACAACAACAGACCGCATTCGCAACTGCTTAGCACCCTGCGCATTTTGGACCCATTCAGTTTCAACGCCTAGCGGGGCACTGCAGCCTCCCTCAAGAGTCCGCAAAAGACTCCGCTCAGCCAAAACCGAGAATGTGGTATCCTGGTGACCAATCGTGTCCAACATATCCTGTAGAACGGTGTCTTCTTTGCGAATTTCGATACCAAGGGCACCCTGTCCGACAGCATAGAGCATGCCGCTGTTCTTCGAGTCTAGATATTGGGTGATACGATCCTCCAAATCAAGACGCAGCAAACCAGCAGCGGCAAGAATGATACATGTGTAAGGGCTATCTTCGGCGTCTAGCTTTGATAGACGAGTGCCGATGTTGCCACGAACATCCTGGACCTTAAGGTGGGGGTATTTCCGGGCTAATTGGGCCGTGCGGCGGATGGATGAGGTTCCAACCACAGACCCGGCGGGGATCTCGGACAGGCTCTTGTATGGCAAACCTTGTTTCACCACCAGAACATCCCTGCTATCTTCGCGGGGCATGCTCGGGCCTAGCTTGCAGGAAGACGGGAGAGTAGTGGGGACATCTGATAATTTCCAAGAGGTTGTCGTCAGCACTTTTCAGGGTTGAAACAGCTACGCTGTTTGAGATTGAGGCATTATCAAACCTTTCAACGAGTGCACGATAACATCGACCTGCCCGCCAATCATCAATTCCTCTAATTCCTCCGTCCACAGGTTCTTGGTAGTGAAGTCGCGCAGTGCAATAGTGGTGTTCAGGTCACCAGCCGTCTCCTTGGAGAAGACCTTATATTCATATTGGGGGAATGCCTTCTTCAATGCGTCGAGGACCAGGTTTGTCTGGAGCAGAGCCAGCTTAGACTTGCGGGTGCCAATAGTGATGGTCTTTTGGGTGGGGGCGGGGGTAGACATTTTGAGGGGCAAAGAAAGCGAATGCGGAGAAGAGATTGAAAATAATAGGATCAGATGTGTACAACGTTGTAGGAGCTCTGCCCGCAGGATACCAAACTGCCGAGGAAAGTCAGGCGAAGAGGCGAAAGTGGATTTGGAGAACTCCGATCACGGGACACGTGCAGATGAGGTAATTTAGTCCTGGGACCCTGGAGTACAACATTTAGGTATATATATAATGATTTAGGAAATAAAAATAAGTGAATAATAGTTGAGAGTAATATTACAATATATGTAGATCTATAAATTTAAAAATAAACTATAAACAATCAAAAGCAAATTCCCTTGAATTCTTCCCCAGTTGATCGTCACAACCTCGGCTTCGGGACGTGGAGATTGCCAGACATGCGACTTATCTCCCCCGGACTTCCCATCGATGTGATTCTGGAACCTCCCCATCTCCTCCCTTCATATAATCCCAGTTACCTTTCCCCTCTCCACATTCCATCCCCCCTGTCTTCCACCCCTCATACACTTTACACCTTGATCTTCCCCGATCCCCATCTTTTGCCACCCCATTTCATCATCACGAGGGCCCATACAAGATGGGGTCCAACGGTAGAACTACCAAGATTCCCCTCGTGCCTCTCCCGAAGGGGCTCGGTTCTGCTACCCGGCGTGACTCTACGAATTCCAGTCTCCAACCGTCCCGATCTCGCCAATCTCCTTTCGTCACTTGTGGACAAGCCTTCCAAGCGAGATGCGAATACCATCACCTTCGGCTGTGTTCCACTTAACTCACCGTTCCTAAGCCGGGATGGACAACAGCTCCTCGAAGGCGAGGACTCGGACTCAGAGCGAAAGGAGGAATACGACTCGATTGACGCCGGTCAGGCACGCAAAGAGGACCTGTTCCATTGTGGAACCATCGGCAAAGTCATCGGAGTTCAGCGCCGGGCTTACTCCGAACCATTCTTGCTTGTCCAAGGCTCGCAACGATTCTCTATTAAGAAGGTCCTGCGAGACCGACCATACTTTGAGGCCGAGGTCTTCATTCATGATGAATCCAGTTAGTTGCCACGAACACAAAGTACAGAAGACACATGGCTAACCATACTTCCTATACTTCTAGACTCTGGACAAGGTGATGCAGAAGTCGCTGAACTATTCCAACAACTGAGGCAGCTCTCCCGAGAGCTTCTTACGCTCCTCCGCCTCTCCTCATTGCTGTCGGCAGCTTCCTCTCGTCTCTCGCCACTCGTTGCCCGAAAGTTCGAGCTCTATATATCAAAGACAGAATTGACCCAAGCTGGGAAGTTGGCCGATTTTATGGCAGACGTGTCTGACGCAAGCTTTGAGGAAAAGCTACGTATCCTCGGCTCGCTGGATGTTAAGGAACGGTTGGAGAGGGTTGTTGAGATCCTCACCAGACAGGCACAGCATATTAAGAGTAGCGTCAGGGTCACCTCGGTTGGCTCGACTTCGTTCCCCTCCTCCGGGATGGATATCAGTCAGATTGATCCACGTGAACGTGAGCTGCTCGCAAAGCGTGCGATTTCGGGTCTCTCCGGCATGACGCCCCCTGGTGGGCGTGGCAATGACGAAGAGAAGGAGCCTAATGAAGTAGACGAGCTACAACAGAAGTTGAATGATGCGCAGCTTAGTCCCGAGGCCCGGAAGGTTGCGGACAAGGAATTGAAACGCCTGCGAAAGATGAACCCTGCCAACGCCGAGTACGGTGTTTGCAGGACTTACCTGGAAAACTTGTCGGAAATCCCATGGACCAAGGTGACAGAGGATCAGCTTGGGCCAGACACGTTGAAGAACGCCAGGAAGCAGCTGGATGAGGATCACTATGGCCTGGAGCGAATCAAGAAGCGACTGTTGGAGTATCTGGCTGTGTTGCGCTTGAAGCAGTCCACCAACTCGGATGTTGAACGCCAGATCTCAGGACTCACCAGGGACTTGGACGCATCGGCCATTGGAGATGTTGAGAAGGACGTCCCCCTGCTGTCAGAGTCTGATCGGGTTGCGTTGGAGACACGCCTTCAAATCCTCAAGTCCAAGCGTATGACCGACAAGTCCCCTATCTTGCTTCTGGTCGGACCTCCTGGAACTGGTAAGACTAGTCTGGCCAGGTCCGTTGCTGCCTCGCTTGGCCGAAAATTCCACCGGATCTCCCTTGGCGGTGTCAGAGACGAGGCGGAAATCCGGGGCCACCGACGTACATACGTTGCAGCCATGCCTGGTTTGATTGTCAATGGGTTGAAGAAGGTCGGCGTTGCAAACCCCGTGATTCTGCTTGATGAAATTGATAAGGTCGGCGGCGCCAACTTCCAAGGCGACCCATCCGCTGCCATGCTGGAGGTTCTTGATCCTGAGCAGAATCACACCTTCACCGACCATTATATCAACATCCCTATCGATCTAAGTAAGGTTCTTTTCCTTGCTACTGCCAACTCCCTCGACACGATCCCGGCACCTCTGCTTGACCGCATGGAGACCATCTCCCTATCTGGATACACTACTGTTGAGAAGAGGCACATTGCCAAGCAACACCTGATTCCGAAGCAGATCCGATCCAACGGTCTTACCGAAGGCCAGGTGAATCTGTCCGATGAGGTGATTGATAAGACCATCACCTCGTACACCCGCGAGTCAGGTGTGCGCAACCTAGAGCGGGAACTTGGCTCTATCTGTCGCCACAAGGCTGTTCAATATGCCGACGCCGGGGATGCCGACCGCCTAAGCGATTATAACCCTGTTGTATCAGTTGACGACCTGGAGGATATCCTGGGAATCGAGCGATTCGAGGAAGAGATCGCCGAGAAGCACGGTCGTCCCGGTGTTGTCACAGGCCTTGTCGCCTACTCTACTGGTGGCCAGGGTAGTATCCTGTTCATCGAGGTCGCAGACATGCCCGGGAACGGACGCGTCCAGCTAACCGGTAAATTGGGTGATGTGCTCAAGGAATCTGTCGAGGTAGCCCTGACATGGGTGAAGGCACACTCCTTTGAGCTCGGTCTCACCCACGACCCCAGTGAAGATATTATGAAGAGCCGTAGCCTGCACGTCCACTGCCCCTCCGGTGCTATCCCTAAAGATGGTCCCTCTGCTGGTCTTGCCCACACTATTGCCTTGATTTCCTTGTTCAGCAACAAGCCCGTCCCGCCACAGATTGCCATGACGGGTGAGGTTTCCCTTCGCGGCCGGGTCATGCCCGTCGGCGGTATTAAGGAGAAGCTGATTGGTGCTTTGCGTGCGGGTGTCAAGACCGTGCTGCTACCGGACCACAACCGCAAGGACGTCAAAGATGTCCCACAGGAAGTCAAGGATGGTCTGGAAATCATCTATGTCAAGTATGTCATCTCCTCCCAACCTTGGTTTAGTTCGACTGCTAACAATTATTCACAGGCACATTTGGGAAGGGCTTCGCCAGGTCTGGCCCGATGCCCAGTGGCCGGGCCAACACCAGATGAACTTTGTCGAAAGCCGACTGTAAACCGTTCTCAACACTATAACTTCAAGGCGCTTTGCCTCCCTCTCTCCCATCTGCTGCCCAGCAGTTTGGGACCCCCACCCTCATTTTTGCATAGCGTATAATAGCCTCAGGCCCTAGTGACTTGTATTTAATCAGCTTGTCTTTCATGATGCGTTCATGCCAGTCAATATTTCTTGTTTATATCACTCAACATACCGTGTTCAATTCTACCCACATCAAAATTTACAAAACATGTTTTATCTTAAAGATTAATGTAAGCCTTAACCAGAACAGAAAAGATGATACGCCATATTCAAGATGTATACAATCTACCCCAAGAGTATAATACACAGATCCAGCCAAACTAACATGGACCGGAAGATAGAGCAAGAAACACCAATTTTCCCCAATGGAGGGAGGAAAAAGAAAAACCATTCAGAACAATGCAAGGAATCCCATCAAACCCGATTACCGCGCTCCGTGCTTCCGTCCCTTCGCAAACCAAGCCGGCAGCGTAGAAGCAGGGGCGAACCCGCCATTCTTAGCAGCCTGGTGTGGCTCCAAGCCCAGAGCCTTCCAGGTCGGTCTCCAAGTCTCCTTCTTCTCGAGCAGTGCCTTGGCCTGCTCCTTGTAAGCCTCGCGCAACTCGCGATCGGGTTGTTCACCCTTGTTCGGCTTGGGGTTCTCCTTTTCTTGTAGGTCGATCTGGAACTTCTCGGCCTTTGACCAGCTTTCATGCTCCCAGCTATTGATGGAAATTGGTTAGTTATGGTATTCAGTGTGGTTTGAGTGCACGTGTAGTGTTGGAATATAGAAAGAGGGAGATATAGAAATTGGAGTTGAAAAGGATGAGAAGTTTGAGAGTGGGCGTCACATACGGGGTCAGATCTTTCGGCTCCGGGGGGTACACGAAGGGTTCCTTCAATTCAACAGTCATGCGCTTCTGCGACTTAGGTCGGCGCCACGGGCCGAAACCCTTGTTATCGCGAGAGATTCGTGTGATCGGTTGTGCCTGGACGTAACTACGGATGCTGAGGGTTCCAACTCCATACAAGTGCCATAGGTAGCTGCGGAGATCGAACTTGTTGAAGTTGAGAGGGACGCGGAATTGAGCATATCGGGGGGTGAGGTTGGGGGTTCGGACGAGAGCGACGCGGAATTCAGGGCTAATGAGGCGGGGAATTAGCTATGGTGCTTTTCATTTTGTGGCACATGTCCAATTGAGCCGGTCAAGTCTGCTGAGGCGTTGTTTTGGTCGAGCGGAGTTCGGGTTCTTGGAAATTTTGGGCAACGTACAGGTACACGGGCTTGCCAACGACGCTGGGCCATTTGGTTTTGGGAGGTTGCTGAACCCCCGCCTGGTTTTGCAGGCGACGAAGGGCTTTCGCTTGAACACTGTTGAGACGCACCATCGTGTTGTTGAGTGGAGGAATCTGGGGGTTGGAGGTGCTTGCGGACCGCGCATCAAAACTGCGTTGGCCGATCTGGTCACATGACCTCGAAGTATACGCCAATAATGAACAACACAAGACTTCAATGTTTGGTGTTCAGTCAGGTTTGAGATCATTGCAATGTGTCTTTGGTGTATTATTAGGTATATTTTTCATATTCCTTTCCCAGACGAAGAGTTTGGGTATACTATCAGACATCTATTGATTCCATTGATAGGAAATTTTGAAACCTATATTACATGCTTTATTCATCGTAAATAGTCATTAAAAAAACGCCCAATATCATGTCCTTTTATTGCTCCGCCGATCCCGAGACTCGAAGTTCTTCTAACCGCTTGGTGCTGTCATCGACATCTTCAGAGTCTTTGGTCTCATGGGCATCACTGGCCTCATCGGCTTCAGATCCAGACTCTTCCTCCTCTTCCTCATCGTCCTCATCCTCATCATCGTCGCTATCATTAGCAGCCTCTCCATCTCCTTTGACTCCCACGTCTGCCATATAAGCCTCGAGCTCACGGGCCATCTTGCGCGAGAAACCTGAGGCTTCAACTTCGACATCCAGACGTTTGCCGGGGTTCTTGAGGAGCTTCTTTCTAGCCCCAGCAAAGGTAGGGCCCTTTGAGTCGCTTACAAAGTGGAACTTGCGCTTGAAGTAGCGCTTGATACATTCCACATCACGGTCGAAGTACATCTCAGCGTTAACGTGATCGATAGACAACATCTGAGGGAAATCAATGAGAACCGGGACCAGCCGGATATGCTCATCTTCCTCTTCCTCAGTAAGTTCTTTCCCCTTCATTTCAGGGTCCAGCTCTTCCTTGATAAGGATATTGAACTCGTTGAAATCACCGTGGATCAGACCATATCGTGCAAGATCCAAAATCATATTCATAAGCTCGGAGTATAGCCCAGCGGGGTTGGCGACTTTTGAGATTTGGCGCAGAGGGAAAGCATCGATTAGACTCATGACGATGGTGTGTCGGTTCTGGGCGATAGGCTCGGGGACGGAGAATCCATTCTCACGCAGAGCCTTCATGAATGCGAATTCCTTCATTGCTGCCAATCGAGACATGTACATCCATGAGGCTGAGCTGCGGTGTCGTAGATAGTCTCGGTTTGTCTTGACTGTTCGGAATGAGATACGACCGAGACGGTGAATTTTCATAATGCGTTGCGCTCCGCTGCTTTCTGCGACCACGATGATGTCTGATTCCTTTCCCACGCCGATTTGGTTTCCAACAGAGTAAATGACCTTTGACTTTTGGTGCGCGTTCAGCGCAAGATAATCCAATCCTCCGTATGCGAGTCGGTAGCCGTCATCTATACGTAGAATACCTGCATTAGCGATACGACCAGATGCAAAAGTAGATGAAATGCATACACTTGGCATTTTTGACCTTTGCAATCAGGTTGATTTTCGCGAGGTTTGAGATTGCGCGATTGACACCGCTGCCGCCCCGGAGGCCCGAAAGTTGAGAGATCAACGGGGTGGGAACGACCTCATGGTTCCGGCTGCCAGCTTCACACTAGGGCAATTATCATGTTAGCCAATGAAAAATGCGCGACAGAATACCCCCAAAGAAAGAACATCGCGGGGTAAACTCAAGAGGAGGGGCCGATAAGTACCGCTGCAAGAACACGGAAATCCTCGGAGGTGAGGTAGCGAATAGCCTTAGCGTCGAGTTTCATGGTTGTGAGGGAGTGAAGTAGCTTTTCACTTTCTTCGAATTTCCCTAATTGGAGACCAGAACTTCAAGTCGAGTTGGACCAGTCAACGATGCAGCGGAGGAAAAAAGTTGATAAGAACCTAGCCCTAAGCCCTATTTCCTATCCGGGATGGGAACCTTGATAGCTTCGCCTTTATTTGGATAACATGATGCAATAATCACAACGTTCTAGCTGAATATCTATCAGAAGTAAATAAAAACCAAGGGCCTAGTTCAAGATATGTGTCTCTACTTGTACATTAGTACACCTGGCTCCTCCAATCCACCGTGGTCTAGAATACACAGTCTACTCATAGATCCAAGCAATTGGATTAGTGGCCAAACATATATAAAAGTTGTAAAATAAATCCATGCTATTCTTCATTCGTTCTGAATACATTAGATCCAACGATAACCCGACCACTATACGAGTCCCGCTGGTTGCGAGCAATGGATGTAAATCGGGGAATATTTAGTCTAGCTTGCTTATTCGGGGCTTTCGTAGTCCGGGTTCTAGAAGGTAGGTTAGTACTGGAAATCTGGATTTGAGATAAAAACACTTACTTTGCGCAAGATAACTAAGCCCTCGAGAGTGCTGCTCAGAGGGATGTACTGCTCATCCTCAAGCTCAGCTCTCTCACCGTGAGCCAGCAGGACTGGCGTGCTCTGAGTCTGCCATCCAGTGATGGTCTTCGGGCGACCCGCCTGGCCGACCACGTCCACAGCCTGACCGACACGGACATTGACGGTGAGTGGCTGAAGGTCCTCATCGAGGGTAATAAGGAAACGGGGGAACATGGCGGTAATGAGGAAGTAGAGCAGGTAGTGGTGTTCAGCGAGGATGAATTGCTTCGCATCGATGAGTGATACAAGCACAGTAAGCAAACCCGCTGCTGAGACGCGGGAAAGGACCTGTCGGTCGGTGTGGAAGGGATTAAGAGTCATGGTACCCTTACCCATGTGTAGGAGACCCTGCGCGATGCGAACCATGAATAGTGAGTTCTGGTCGCGGTGGTAGTAGCTGGCCAATTGGCGGAGAAGCTGTGCGATACGAGCATTGTTGGTACCAGCGCCACAGAGACCCATGGCAAAGATGGCATTAATGGCAACATCGTTGTCATTGTCATGACTGTACCGGGACAGTGTATCGTAAACCTTCATTTGTGGGTTACTGGGGCTGATCAAGCCCATAGCTAGGGGAACTGCCCGGCGAATGTTGCTAGATCCGTAGTGCATGAGGTGACCGAACTGGCGGAGAATCATATCCTGTCCAACATCCTCACCCATAGCAATGAGAGACAGACCGAGAACAGCGTACGACTGAACAAGCTCATCGCCCTTGTTCTCCTCCTTCTCTTCAATGATGTCATTGCAGATGTGGAGAAGCTCTTGTAGCTTGAGCACCGTACCAGTGCCTGCCCAAGCGCATACTGAGGCAAGGACTGATGTGGGCTTAGCCATGGGGTGGTCAACCGCCTTGAGGATGTCAAGGATGACATCAACCTCCTCCTGGCGGCCGAAGTACAGAAGTGCCAGGCCAAGGGCCATGAACCTTGTCCACTTGTCCTTGAGCTGCTTCTGACGCTCCTCATCCATCAAGGTCGTTGCGATTGCCTCGCTAACCTGGTGGTTTGATGAACCAACAAAGATGAGACCCAGGGAAACGGCTGCCATGGCAGACAGCTGCATATCGAGTGAGGCATCCTCCACAATCGGAAGGAGAACCTCAAGCAGTTCTTCCTTGTTGGAACCGGCATATGCCAGACCAAGACCCATGATGGATGCAACTCTCATCGGCACGTTCTTCGCCTCAAGGTTGTCAGGGTCGCTCAAAAGGGCAAGGGCGGGGTCGGAGTCAAGTCGAACGCCGGAGTTCAGGATACCAATGGCGAGCAGTGCACCGGCCTTGACCTGGTCTTCTTGCGCGTAGGTGAACTTGTCGATCTTATCCAAACCATCCTCGACATCGCGGTGTAGCAGCATACCCAGCGACGCAGTTGTGGAAAGCATGCCATCATCCTTGGTCTTCCACACCCACGGGCCCTTATCACCCTCCACTAGCATCATCTTATCATTACCAAAGCCGGCGTTAGCAAACGAGTTGACAAAGGCGCTGGCCAAGTTGTGTCGTGCCGAATCAAGATTGGTGAGACCAGCTCCGCGGCTGCTCTCGAGATGCGTCTTGTAGATATCCTCCGGCATCTTGGGGTCCAGAATGTTGAGTTCCTTCCCCAGAGATTTGAAGTGCTTTGGAATGGAAGTGTTGTTCAGACAATCAGCCAAGGCCTCTCCCTCCTCATCCTCGGCCGGGAGGTCGAGCCAGATCTGCTGCCGGGCGACAAGGAAGGCCATCTGTTTCTTCAAAGCCTTGTCGGTTGTGGCGTGGATGTCACTCTTGATGAGCTCGATGTCGTTCAACCGGATAGCGAGCACGATCGCTTGCGAAAGCTTTTTGTAGCGGACGTAGATCCCGTGGGCGGTTCGAAGGAATTGCTGATCTTCAGGGTAAGTGAGCAGATTGACCATGCTGACCATATACAAGCAGACTCGGGCGTATGTGTTCTCGTCAACGAATTGAGGAATATCTTCAATGATTTCCAGTTCGCTCATGAGATCAACCGCATCGGCCTCGGCATTATGACTCAGGAAATAGGGCACCAGCGACAATGCAAGGTCCACTAGATCCTGGGTATCCTGGTCTGCATTCAAACGGTTCTGATATTCCTGTCCGATTTCCAGTGCGAGATGTCGGACATACTCATGACCCCAGGAGCCAAGGTCCTCCGACTTGGCCAACAGGCGGTATTTGATAGTCTCTAACTTCTCTTCGTCTCCGTAGGTCATTCCAAGCACGGACAGCATATCAGCCAATGAGTTCTAAAAAGAATGATATCGTTAGATCGTCACAAAAAGATGGAAGCATTGCAGAACCAACCTGTACGGGACCTGCGGCCCATTTCTCGTATAGCCCTGCCAGGTCATCATAATGCGGTCGGAGGAACTTGAGAGGCTTAGGAACAGCTGTCATGGAGGATGTAGAAGTCTTGATAAAGTTCTTGATTGCGTCCAAAGCAGGCCCATAGAGCGAGGTATCGGGTTCCTATTGAGAGCAAAGATGATGATTAACGTCATTGTGCTATGCGCACGGGACAGGAGAGTCACCCTACCTTTAACCGCTCAACGAGCATCTCAAGTTCGCTCTTCAATTGCTGGTCTTCTTCACTGAGTTCCTCTGTAGAGAATTTCCGTCAGCAT